CCCTGGGACAGTGGGGGTGACCCTGGGACATTGGGAGGTGACCCTGGGGACAGTGGGGGTGACCCTGGGGACATTGGGAGGTGACCCTGGGGACATTGGGAGGTGTCCCTGCCATGGCTGGGTGGCCCTGGCTTTAGGGATTTAGGATCCCTCCCCACCCAAAGCCCTCCCTGAGTTTAACCCTGCCCATTTCCCCGTCACCCAGAGGTGAGGAGCTGGGTTTAACAGAGACAGAAGAATCCCCAGGCTGTGTAAAAATCCATTTATGGCAGCTTTAACAGTATCAAAAACACCCCAGGAGAAACAGGACAGGGAAAGGAACAAAAATGCTCAGTTTGAAGGGGTTCATGGTCAGTGGCACAGCCAAAACAAAATCCCGAGTGTCCCCGGAGAAAGGGGAGGTGGAAAGGCTGCAAAGGGAGGGGAGGGGACAGCAGGGACAGCTGTCACACCCTGCTGCTGTCACCTCCCCTCCGGGAGCTCAGGATCCCTCACTGGATCTCCCCCATGTAGAGCCTCTTGTCACTGGAGGCCGAGAGAACTGAGGGGGAAAGGGAGAGAGAGAGAGGGGGAGAGATAAAATAAAAATTAATATAAAATGTAAAAATTCAAATATTTAAAAAAATGGAATGTAAAAATTGAAATAAAACGTAAAAACAGAATGTAAAAATTGAAATAAAATATAAAAAACTGGAATATAATAACTGAAATCAAATATAAAAAATAGGATATAAAAATTGAAATAAAATATAAAAATGGAATGTAAAAATTGAAATAAAACGGAAAAACAGAATGTAAAAATTGAAATCAAATGTCAAAAATTGGAATATAATAACTGAAATCAAATAGAAAAAATAAAATATAAAAATTGAAATAAAATATAAAAATGGAATGTAAAAATTGAAATAAAACGTAAAAACAGAATGTAAAAATTGAAATCAAATATCAAAAATTGGAATATAATAACTGAAATCAAATAGAAAAAATAGAATATAAAAATTGAAATAAAATATAAAAATGGAATGTAAAAATTGAAGTATAATATATAAAAAAATGGAATGTAAAAATTGAAATAAAATATAAAAAAACTGAATATAATAACTGAAATATAATTTAAATTGGAATGTAAAAATTGAAATAAAATATATAAAAAATGGAATATAACTGAAACATAATATAAAAAATGGAATGTAAAAATTGAAATAAAATATAAAAATAGAATGTAAAAATTGAAATAAAATATAAAAAAATGGAATAACTGAAATATAATATAAAAAATGGAATGGAAAAATTGAAATAAAATATGTTAAAAAATGGAATGTACAAGTTGAAATATAATATATAAAAAAATGGAATGTAAAAATCGAAATATAATAGAAAAAATGTAATATAAAAATTGAAATAAAATATAAAAATAGAATATAAAATTTAAATAAAATAAAAAATAAAATATAATATAAAATTTAAAATATAAAAATTAAAATTATAAATATAACAAAAATAACTATTTTATAAAAATATAAGTAGAAAATTAAAATGTAAAAATTAGAACATAAAGTTAAAATAGAACATCAAATTAAAATAAAAATATAAAAAATTAAAATTATGAAGATACATTTTATAAAATTATAAACATAAATAAAATACTAAAATATAAAAATTAAATAAAACATAAAACCCACAACAGAATCTATAAATTATCCTAAGCTAGAAATGTGTCCTCCCTAAGGACACAGCAGCAAACTCCTGATTTTGCTGGAAGCTGAACTCCAGTTGTTCCCCAAAGGCACCGTGGGGCTGTGCTGTGCCCCGGGTCCCATCCCCTGCTGGGGATGACGGAGCTGGGAAGCGCAAGGAGAGGGGATGAGCCCCTCTGGAGGATCCCGAGCTGGGATCTCCATCCCGGGGAGAGCCGAGAGCCACTCCAGGGCAGCTCTGGCCAGGGATGTGTCCCCAGGTCCCCAGGAACAGGGAGAGCAGAGCTGGCTGCCAGCTCCCCCCGCCTGTCACCGTCCCTCAGGGTCCCCTCCAGCCCAACCCGCCCTGGGGCTGGCACTGCTGGGACCCCACAGCTTCTGGGGACCCCCAGTGTCCCCACGGAATCACCAATGGTGGCCATTGCAAACCATCCCAAACCATCCAAAACCTCATCCCAAACCATCCCAAACCTCATCCCAAACCTCATCCCAAACCTCATCCCAAACCATCCCAAACCTCATCCCAAACCTCATCCCAAACCTCATCCCAAACCTCATCCCAAACCATCCCAAACCTCATCCCAAACCTCATCCCAAACCATCCCAAACCTCATCCCAAACCTCACCCCAAACCATCCCAAACCATCCAAAACCTCATTCCAAACCATCCCAAACCTCATCCCAAACCTCATTCCAAACCATCCCAAACCATCCCAAACCATCCCACACCTCATCCCAAACCTCACGGGCCTGGGGAGGCTGGGCCACCACCCCAAGGGCCAAGTGCCACCCTCTGGGTGTCCCTAGCCCACCCC